CATGAAGCTGTGTGTATTTTCAATGTAAGCAAATACAGCCAAAATTTTTCTGATCAAACACTTAGTGCTTCTCATTAGCTCTGCAGAACCAAAAGACACCATCAATGCAGTTTCTATTTCCACAATAATATTAACAGAAGTTAGACTAAGATTGCTTGGTTACAAAGTAGTGCTCTCCATTGCTATGCAGTTAAGCTCAGGCTTTCTGGTCTGTAGTAATGCAAAGTCTTGCTTGTCATGTGGACAAGTTGTTCAAGACTAATCAAAATCAGAACATTTTGCCTTCATTACCTTAATGAATCTAATGAAACATTAAAACTGGCAATAACTGACATAACTGAAATAACTGATCCATTAAAGATTAATGGAACAGTAGATTTGACCTGACATATCCTATGATACGATAATATCAATGAGAAGAATTCAGAATTTAGTGCTGCTAAATAGGTTAGTTTCCTCTCTCCTTGGCTTATTGCCATTGGAAAATGTAAGAGGCTTAGGTTTTTTGCAGGTTGGCTTCTTTTAAAATAGTCACATCTCCTTGAAAAAAAGGCTGGCAATGGCTTGTATATAGATTTATTTGTTTTTGTCAAAGCAAGGAACTCCCTTAATGAGGTCATTCCTATTATGCAACTACTGACCTCCGCCTCAGGCTTTCTGAATTCGCTCTGGACAGATTATTTCTAAGTATGTAAGGGAAGTGGCATCGCAGATTCATCTTTTTGTGGTAATACCTCAGCCCAGACAACTGAAGAAGGAACTTTTAATACCTTCCTTTCTGGAACTGCAATGTGATTTGTGGAAGAAAATGAAAGACCTATTTTAGATCTAGATTTAGAAACTGTGAGGAAAAAAATAATCATGCCATAGTAAACCCAAACCTTTCTAATATATGTGAAATCCTGAAATAAAACAATCAAGCCTAAATCTCATCAGAAATGGAAAATGTTCAATTTCTCTCACATTTGCTCATAACTTCACTGCATAAAGTATTCGTTCTATTGAGCATGTTTGAGATTATCTGAACTGAGCTATGTCTCCTTCCCAACTTGAATTACATAAAATTGGTGAGGTTTCATACTCATAAAATTCAACTTTATAAAATTTCATGAAGTTTCTCAAATGTACCTTGCTCCAAAACCCTCCCTGAGCTCACATGAGTGTCCATGTTCCTAAACTGTTGAAGGGGACTGTCTGATATTTGCTTATTGTTATTACTCAGTGTGCTACAATACACCCTCTGGCATTTTCAGGAGGGGTTAGTTAAATGAGTAAATAATAACATATTTGGTAAGATGCTGTTTTTTTAAAAAAAGGACCAGAAAATCTCTTTTCTATTTTTTATTTGAATAAATTACATGGAGTAAAGACCATTTTATTGCAGGTATCAAATATAGTATCAAAGTACAAATAATTGTAAATACTAGTAGGACTAATGGGATCTAAAGTGAATATTTCTAATTTCTAACCTGAACATTATTTAATCTACATTAGATTAAATATGAAATATTTAGAAATATTTTTATAAATCTCAAATAGAAATATATTTATATCTTTATTATGCATGTAAAGATAGTACTTTCAATTCTGCAATTAAAAACATTAAAAAAAAGCCCTTTAGAAATAAATGACAACACTAATACACAAGTGTATTATTATATTTAGCCCTACGTGACTTAAGAGACACTTAAGATGATAAGCAATTGCTCTCTTCCATATTAATACTATTTTGGGCAACATATCTCTTTAAGTGAAAGTATTTTGTTAATTGAAGGGTTTTTTATACAAATACTTAGTAGTTCTAGAAAGTGTTTACTGACATCTGATTACATGATGGACTTTATGAAGCATTTTTTATGAAGTAACTCCTATATTTTACATCACTTTTGCAAATATCTTTGCTCAGCTCTAAAGAGCATGGTCCATAATAAAAGTAAATATTGCTCGTAGAGACTAAGAGCAGGCCTATGCTAAATATCAATAATATGGTTAGCATTTGAATAACATTAATTAGCATAAATATGGATAATTCAGAAAAGCATTAGCATATCTATGCCAATTATTTTCCTTCAATTTTTGCTAAGGCTGCAGATTTTAAGAATCCTTTACTCTTTGAAGTCTTCAGTGCTATCTTTTCATTCCTCTGTCAACAGAATTATTGGTTAAGACACCATAATTTAATATATTGGCTTGCACTTTTGCAGCAAGCTCCCTTCCATAGTCACATTTCAAATAGCTTTTGTGAATTTTATCAGGTAGAATGACTAAAAGGAAGTCTGCAATATAAGATTTCACTAAATATATTGGTGGAGTAGTGAGAGGGCTAGGTGGTTACTTATGTCTCTTCCTTTGTTCTCAGTAAGAGTATATGCCTGCCTTCTTAAATGAAAAGTCAAGGGTTTTTCTGGTCTCCCTAGGTATACAAAAATACAAATGCCAGACCCTGCAGCAGTACTTAGCACTAAGAACTGCTCATTGCATGACTTCACCTGGCCCAAAAGGCTGTAGAAACCAGGTCCTTCCTCGTCCTGTCTGGTTACTGGAAGGCTGGGTGGGGTTCACAGCTCGACTGGTTTTCACATCTCCCTTTTTGTCCTCCATGGTGGGGATGACCACCACTGGGATGAGAGTGCACTGCTCGAGTGTGCCATCAGAGGACATAACTTCAGTGTATCCATCTTCACAACTGCATGTCCTAGTCTGTAGGGAACAAGTGTTTTACAACGTGTAGCAGAAAAATAAGGTTTTCTGTGAGCTTTAAAGCATAACAACATGGATGACTGGAAGAGAAGACTATTTTGATGAGTGCTAGCCTGGAGGGTACCTCTTCACATATTTTTATGCAAGTTCATACCATATTTAACTTTTAATTGAAAGGCAGAAAATTGGGCAAGGTGGATTATAACAAATTTTTGATGAGTAAAATCTCTGAAATGCTTTTTGTTGACATAATCTTTGTAATCAAGAGATGTGTGGGAAGGCCTCATGGGGTGCTCTATGCTCCAATGCAGTAGCACATACCTCACTGCAGTAAGCGTGGGGTTGGCTGCACGGTGGGTTACATGACCTGTCAGCATCTGGTTGGCGCATCACTAAACAGCCCCCTGTAGGACAGAAAATCATATTTTCACATGGTAATATCTAACCACTGATGAAATTACTTGCTGCACTGTATCATGGATGACAATCTTGTTGCTAATTTGAATGTAAGAGTCCTTCTTTTATTCCAAGGTGAAGGATAATTGAAATCAAATGTTTTCTTATATGTAGAGTAAGGATACAGCAAATACATTTCATTTCATGTGCATTTTAGAGTACTAATATTTGGCAATGGAACTAATATTTGTTTTCCTCTTTTATCCTTTGGTGAATTGCCAAAAAAGCTAATTTAAATGCTTTGTTGTACTTGAGGGAACAGATGTGGTTCTCTAGGGCCCTCCTTATGACTTACATGTTGAAACTATGTTGACAATAGAAATAAAAACATATTTTTTATTTATATAATTTCCTGTTGAACTGAAAACAAGTTACTCATCCCGTTTATGAAAGGGTACCTGTTTTCTGCTGCTACTGGGTCACTTTTACACATGCTTTTATGAATCAAAGCTTCATGTTAGTCTGAGATTTTACAAAGCAAAGCAGAGTTATCTGTAAAGCATGTACTGAATGTTGCAATACTGATGATATTGTGAGTTTCAGTCTTTTCCCTTTTTATACAGGCCCAGTTTTAATTTCTACAGCTTTATATATAGTTCAGTTATCATTATGGACCAGTACACACAATCAGGATTTCACTAGCATTTCAGCCAGAATTACTTTAAAATACATTTAGAATTAGTTTGAATTTATCTGTGTTTCCTTTTAGCTTATAGAAAAGGGATATGAATCACATTGTTTAAAATTCATACTGCTACAGAAAAACTTATCATGCATCTCCCAAATTAATTCTGTTTTTATACTGTGCAATATGATGATGAAATCCTGATAGCTGAGGTTGGTCACAACCATAGCGGATGTAGTTAGTTGTGGTTATGTAGATCCAAGTGTTAACAGGATGGCTGGTGAAGAACAAAGAAAACGCTGCTGGTTGCTTTAAGTTTTCCCCACCCTCATAAAAGAAAATCATCCATCCTAGCATATAAATCACATGCCTTTGGGAATCTATGTAATAAAATATCAGTCATCCAAGGAAGCAGAAGGAAAGAGTTGCCTCATCGCCCATGGGAAATAACACCTTCAAGTAAAAAAGAATTATTCAGCACAATGATATTATGCAAGTAAGTAAATAGAAAAAGACCTTAAAATACCAACAGAACTCACAATACTTATTTAATAATGTCTGAATTAAAGTACACTATGTTGAATCCAAATGTACAGGAATAAGGCTGACAAGACACAGTAATCAGAGATATGGGCTGCTTCTGAATCAAACTAGGTAATCTCAATTTAAATCAATCATGTATGTGCATCTATCACCTCAATGAATACGGTAGGTATTCATGAGCTCAATATATACATATATATACTGTAAATATATATATGTATATATTATACAAAACACTTTCAGGAAATGTACAAATGCAAATTAAAATCTGGTTCACTACTGTATATTTAATGTAGAGAAGTTCCCTCTACATTATATTTTAGTCCAATAGAATATTACATTTAAGTGCTGTGCTTGAAAACGATCATAAAATCCATGAAAATTATGGGTTTGCATTTAACAGAAACATATGAAAAATATAGTTTTGTGTTGCATGGAGACCAGTGATTTCATGTTCTGGACTATGCCATTAGTCTTCCTTTCAAATCAGAAAGTTATCACAACATACAAACATACAAACAAACTTTGAAAAAAAGTAATGCAATGTAGATCAGAGGTTTGTCTGCCTTGGAGGTCCTATTATGAAAAATCTGCCAATAATACACAGTCATACATTCATATTTCCTAGAATTTATCACAAAGCTGTATTTGGTCACATCAGAATAAATTATTATTTTCATGTGACTGTGATTTATTAATATATTCTGATTTTAACATCTCAGAGACATAATCTCCAAGATGCTATTTCCTTAAATCCTATAGGACCTTTCATTGGTAATATCCTATATTAATCTCAGTAAAGAATTCTCTCTTAGAGTTTTACTTATCATAGAAACATCTTAGGTAAGCAGGAAGCAATCAAGGTTCATGAATAATGCCCTGTCACAATTCTTGTGAACAAGTTGTGTTTTAAGAGTCCTACACCACAATGTGAGGTTTGCAAGAGACTTTGAGCTATTATTTCAACACTGTGTAAAAATAACACAAATATTTTATTTCTACAGTTCAACAGACAGTAGTGGTGGACTCCACCATGAATAAATATTGCGGTGGCAATAAATAACAGCCCTTCTGCTGTGACTGACCTGACAGCAGCTGGCATTGAGGATATGTTTACAGTCTCTGGGATTCTTTTACTATCACTTGGTCTGACACAAAAACTATTTAAATAAATGCATAACTCTTAGCTTAAATGAATCCCTATTACCAATATAAAAATCAATATGAATAGATTCAAATGAAGGTTTTCTTCTGAGACTTCTGTCGTTCCTAATTCCTTTCTTTTTGCTTTAGCTTGCACAAAAAGTCATGACATCCCATAGCAGACTGCAATGTATCTTGATACAGATTTATGATATTGAAGTAAAGAAATAAACTGATATTAACACATTTATTAAAATTTTATATTTTGTAACTTTAAGGAGATATATCATATATGGATGATATTACCGAGCTGTGCAACTTTCTTTGCCTTTGTATAGGCACTGAAATGACCTGTAGTATATAAAAATTTTATTTGTTTTAAGGCCTGAAATTTGAAGCCCTACATTTAGAAGTGTAAAGATGCCTAAGGTAAAAAACCCCTGAACATACACAATGTAAAACATTTCAGGTCCACCATAGGAGATAACATTTATATTTACTTTAAGCATTACATGCTGCATAATTGTAGAAAAGAAACAGCATCTTTAATATGCAAAAAGATGATGATTTTGATTCATACCCCAGGATGAATAAAAATCATCCAGATTTCGCAGATCCTTTTAATTTTTTTTCGTTTTTTTGGGAAACCCCTTTTTCCCCTTTTTTTCCGGGGTTTTTTTTTGTGTATATAAAAAGAGCAGTTACCTGTGACGTTTAAACCATCTGACCTTTGGCACCACACGGTCCGAGAAGATCCCTTCCATGGGCTAGCCATCCACTTGTACTCATAGCACTGCCCATCTGCACAGAGAACATTGGCATTTCAACAGATTTGATGACAAGGTTTTAGATTACCATGGGCTGCAGCCATACTCATCAGCTGACCATACTCATTTTGTGGCCACACTCATTATGATTAATGGCTTGTACAGTTGTTAATTAAGCCCTTTTCTCCTTCAACCAGCACTGCACTGCACATGTGGAGGTCCCGGGGTCTCCTGCACTTACTGGACACGTAGAGAAGAGACCAGATGTGTCTGAGACACTAACTAGGTTTATGAGCAAGCCTAATGCAGTAAACGGGTACAAGAAATGTTTCCAATAAGCTCATAATGGTTGTGGCCCATTTGTTGTGCAAAACTCATTTAGGGGTCCGGTTCCTTTTCTGGTAGCACTGAGTTTCAGTCAGTGCTCCAGTGCTTGGCAAAGTGGCCAGGGCTGCATCTGGCTTTGTGTCTCAGCACTTCTGTGCACATCTCATATGGTCTGGCATGGATCATGGAGTCCTTCTGCACCTTAGCTCTCTATTAAAAATATAAAATTCCTTTTTGTCCAATATGGCCTCTGAATAGGCTAGTTGGTAGAGGAAACTTCTTTTTTTAGACAATTTGTCTACTAGCAGTGGTAAGCACGGCTGAGATATTTTAATGACATTGTCATGCAATTAACAATTCAAAGGGTAGAGAGAAATCTAATCCTGGTTATGAATCAAAATGAAGAGAGTTCTTTTTGTTAATGTTACAAAGTGTATTTGTCCCATATGAAAAGAAATGTCATTATTTAAAAATAATAATTCTAGAAGGTTAACATATGATAGTTACTACTTGAAAGTTTTTCTCTTTACAGTTGATATATATAAAACAACAATTTAAGTGCAACTGTGTTTATCAAGTTTGTATTTGCCTAAAATCAATACCACGAACAGTAAGAAAACAAAATTATGGTTGTTTTATATTATTTTCTTGCATGAGCCAGCCTGACATATATTTTGGTGCTTACCATTGCATGGTCTTGTTTCCAAAGCCTGTTCTGGACAGAGATGTTGATTCTCTAAGTCCTGAATGATCACTGCCCTAGATCGGACTTGTATTCCTCCAAAACCAAGATCTTCACCATTAAAACAGGTTAGCTGGCAAAGGCTCCATTCAGACCACTCTCTCAAGTAACAGTCCCCTGTCAAAGAGCAGTTTTATAAGATGAATGATCATTGTGTGTGAAGATCTTTTCACACTGAATGTCTTTAAAAAATGTCCCAAGTACAGTTTCTTAATTTTCCTTCTCTTTAGTTGCCTTTTTCCCTCTATTTAAACTTGACTGATAGTGTAGAAATCATAATATTTTGATATTATCTGAATGTCTGTGTCATAGAAAATATTATAAAGATTATACAAGGGCCCATTTGTTCTAAAGCAGTTTTATTTTCTTGTAGCATTCCCATGAGATCACCCTCATGAATCTCTTTGCAATGCTTTACCAATGTCTAGATTTTTGTACATTTTAAGATATTTTCCATTGTATGTCTTATGCTAAATTTACTTTTTCTTTTCAATTCATCTTTGATCTTAGAAAATGTTCTCTAGTATTAAGAAGATTAATTATTGCTTATCTTTCTCTAAATAGACATAGAAGGAACTGATGCAAAACACTTTGCAAGAAAGGGAAATGGAAACATGATTAAAATGTCTTTTCTTGCTATTTCATATTAGCATAATAGACATGTAGAATTCTATAGTGTAAAACTGAAAAATAAAATTATACTAATGATACTAATTAGCACAATCAGCTACAGAACATTTAAGGAAGATCTGAGGCACTACACAAAGAAACCATTTTGTTAAAACTGCAGTTGAAAATGGGACTAGTCTGTGCACAAACTCATAAATAAACCTCTTAGTTCTCATTATTTCAGTGAGAAAGTCATTAAAAATTCATGCTACCTTGCATTATACTGATGACAGATATAATCAGTACTGTGTTGACCGGATGCCTGATTAATGAAGGAATTTTATTTGCCAACCTTTGGAAAGCATGCAAAGAAATGAATAATTGACGAATGATGTATACATAATAGGAAAACAAGTAGGGATTTTTGGAAACATTAGCTCGAGCATATCATTAGCACATCTCCACAGGGCAGTTATTTTTGCTGGCTAAATATGAGATGGTTGAAGAACAGGTCCCCGCTCAGCAAAATTTTTAAAGCAATCAATAAGCAGCTATATTTTTTTAATAAAATTCACTACTATGAAAACATAACTACAATCTTTCTATTCTTCCAGTTTCCATTTAAGAAGTAAAAATACATTAAAATTATGCAATTGGAATGCTATGTACAAAGCAGTGATGGAAATATCTCCATTTTTTATTAATTTCTGTTTATTGAGTCAACTTTACCTTCAGTCCAATCTGATATGATCTGGGAAAAAAACTCGGGGAAAGAGGAGAGTTTCAAGAGAATGGAGTACTGGCATGAAATGATAGCTGCATTAGAACTGAAGGAGTTTATCACCTCTTCTGAAGATTCATCATTAATAGCTATTAAACAACAGCAATATACTTCAAATTCTACAAGTAAGTGTTTGGAATGAACTGGAGGGGTTTTAGGAAATTACACAGCTCTTATATGCTCTTAATCCTTCTCAGTATGAGCATCATGGACCTGATCATTCATAACAGTTACTTTGATTCAGTCCACAGAAGTGATGATAGTGCATGTCACATCCATAGAGCTAAACAACTAGAGGCACTCATGTTTTCTCAGGGATCAAAACTTTAGTTTCATTTGGAATAGAACCTCTAAAGGAAAAAATAAGATGCCTTAGCTTATCTTCCTTAGACACCCATAAAAGGCATCAAGGTTTTAGCACTGGTAAATATATTAATAAAGCTGTCAGATAGTCTACACACTTAACACTAATATTTAGCTGTAAACTAACATCCTTTCTTATAGAGTTAAATACAGGTTTTATTTCAATGGATTTTGTGAAAAAATATATACATCTTAGATACAATCTGTGACAGAGAGATCATGTCTTTTATAAATTTAAAATCTAGTATTTTTCTAATTGATTGATTATCATGAAGCCACTCCTAAAAAGTAACTCTGTTGGTCATTTGATAGATTAATCCAATCAGTAAAGCAGATGAAAAAGATTTCATTGCCTGTGGCTAAGCTAGGCCCTAATAGCAAAAATGACACCAAAGCAATCTTGAAATGCAACATTTATTTGAACAGCTTTGTTACCTGGACAAGGGAAAGTGCAGGTTTCCTCAAGTATTATCTTCTTATCACCATCTATAATGGGCTCTATTTCTCCACAGAATTCCTCATCTACTACTTTGCCAACATCTTCAATGGATCCATCATAAACCACACAGGAGATGTTCCTCACACGTGTTCCCTCTCCACATTGGGCATCCTACAGAAGGAGAATTGATTGATACTGAACAGAAGAAATTGCCAAAAGACTAAATCTGTGTTACATGTCATTCTATTTCCTATTATTTTTGCTTAACTACTTATTCATTCCAATAAAGAGAAGAAGACAAAAAAAGAAGACATGGTTCATTACTTCTGAAACAAAAAGAAAAAAACAACCCGAAATTCCTGGTTACTGCTACTTGTTCCCTAAGTTACAGAGCTAATTATGCTTTTGAATTGCAACCAGAGCAGTATGTCAAGTGAAGATATCTTCTAATATATGAATACATTTCTGCTGATATTTTTTTGCAATAGAAGTATTTAAATTATTAGCAAAGATGCTGCTCAGGTACCAAAGATTACATTTGTACTCTGAATATCTGTATCGATAAATACTGAAATACATTGATAAATAATGAAATCTAAGGAAAAAAACAAACTTCAGTTTTTGTATAAGAGAGCTAGAATCAAGTTGTTTACAGAGTTGATAAGGAGGTATCCAGGCATATCACAAATATGCCTGGATCCACATGTTTCATAACTTCTAAGTCCCATATGACTTTTACCTCTACTTTGCATGTAGACCATTGACTATATTGCCATCGATAACAAGGTTTTACTGGACAGGGTTTGAATTGCTCCATCTGAGAAGGACAAGGTCTCCCATCACCCTGAAATGGCTGATTTATGGTCCTTCTTCTGATCATTTTTCCTGTAACAAAAAGCAGCAATATAACAACAAAGACTTCAGTGGTTAGATTGATTTATTCCTCAAGATGTTCTATTTTGCTAAAAAGTATTGTGTTTGAATAAAGCATTTTTTTTTCCAGATTTGAAAAAGTGAATTATAAAGCTGATCTGTTGGCTCTTGTCTGTTACATGGATTCATATTTTCTAAGTTAGACACTTTATATTCTGTCATTCTTTTGTAGTGTACGAAGTGCAGGAGAATGTCTGATTAGGATTGCTCCTGTAAAAGCAAACAAAAGCAGTAGTTTCCTAGTTCAGAAGCCTGAAGAAAAGTATTCTTTATGATTGTGATGACATGCTTGTTCATTTAAGTGGAGACTCCTGCTCTTCATCTGCAGCTTGCTGCTAGAAGAGGCCAGCATGCTGTGTTCTCTCAGTTAACCAAGAAACATGTGTCCCATAATTGTCTGATTCCAGCAAACAAGAACTTGCAATTATCTGTCACTGTCTGTGTGGGAAATATTACATGCAGATTTTGCAGAAGATGGAGGATTCTTCACTCAGGCCCAAAGAAAATTAAAATACAATAGGCTTATGCAACAATTACCTCCTCTCCAGCCATGAGTGATATGCAACAATTATCTCCTCTCCAACTATGAGTGATATGCTACCCAGCTTCATTGAGATACAGGTTCTACTTCAAATACTTATTTATATAAGGAAAGAGGAATTCTCAGTCTGAAAGAGGAATTCTCAGTCTTTAGAATATGCTAAAGGTATGTACTGACCTGTAAGGCCACATGTTTGAGAGCACTCAGACCAAGTGGACCAGTCAGAGAGCTGACAGTTCACAGGACATTCCACCACGCAGGACATATTCATTTGCCATGTCTTTTCCAAACCAAGCTGAAAGAAAATGTTAAATGGTTAGCACAAAACTCCAGGTCTGTATCAGTGCATCAGTGCAGGGTAAAAAGTAACTAGGACATTTAAAATTCTCATTTCAAGACAGTCCTAATGCACATATTGATCTTTATATACATGCATAAAACCCATTTTCATCAATCATTTTCTAAACTAGAACCTATAAATGGAGGGCTTAATATCTACACTATTACTTTTTACAACAGATGAAGGCCACAATGATTTGTGAAGCATTTTGAGAGAGGAATGCAAAAATACTGAACAGTTATTAATAAGTGAATTGAAGTGATACTAGAAGCCAAGTTCAAAACTAGTAAAAGGAGGAGGATGAACATGTACTAGATACTCAAAAGATGTGCAGATGTTGAAAGGAGCTCAAGAGAGACTGAACAAGTTAATGGGAGGTTTAAACACACAGAAAACCTAGGCAAATGCAGTTCAAGAGCTGAAAACGGGTAGAAGCTGTGAAAGGAGTAGGTGGAAACTCTTTTATGTCTGTGTTTCTTACTTTTCCAAGGGCATCTGCTTATGCCTCTCATGTTTCCTTCCTAATGTGCTGTATAAGTGCATGATTATTCTATTATTCTATTCTGTTCACCATGCTATCCATAAAAAGATATTGACATGACACTGACAATTTTTTTTCAAAAAAAAAAAAAAAAAAACAACAACCAAAGCACAAACCAAAACATATTTTCATTTTTTTTTCTGAAAAACTTTGCAAAGAATCAGAATCCTATAACACCCATAATTTAAAAGCTTTAGCTGCTGGAGGAGTCTGAAAGAAGGGGTCAGAGAAATTAATCTCAAGACTCTAGTGGTCCCAAAAATATATTCTATTCTCAGTTTTTCCTCAGGTATGATTCAATGTAACACCCCACCCTGGGGAAGAGAGTTTTATAATCATGATCAGGACATGGCACAACAACTACATGGTCCTTTGGTCTGATCCTGGACAGCCATTTCTATGTTTTTATAAACTCACAGACTCCAGATTTTCCCCATCCATACAAAGAAAGAGATATTCTCACTAACACACATGAGAATATATCATGCAAGATGAAATGCAACTGATGGCAAAAATATTAGCATAATAACACCTGTATCCTGCACAGTTGAATAAAAAGGGTAGGTCAGTTATAGGTTGTATGATCTAAAGCATGAAAGAAAGTCAGTCCTGCCAACATGAACAGATCTACAGCTTTCCAGAACAAAGGACTGTCCTTTTCACTGGACCTCACCAGTGGTCCAGTGACCTTGATCATCACTGAGGCATTTCAGAATCCTAGGCAGTTGTGAATATCTTTTAACAAGAAAAAAATTCCCACCCCACCAGTTGAAAAAAAAAAAAAAGGCAAACTAGACATTTAAAAACCTATTAATTTTAATGACTGGAAAAGTTGATTATATAAAATCAGCATATCAGCATTTAAGACTTTAAAAAGGAGATAAACCACTATTTCCTACTAAACACAAGCATAGAGCAATAATTAGGCACAACATTAACATATTCTCCATAAATAAACTACCACAAGTACTGAAAATATCTCCTCCTGATAGACCCACCAAGTTTTAAATTTGTATTTGCATTTATTGAGACAAATGAGGGTTTAGACCTCTGTTTTTATACATCAAAGAATGAGTTCTTGACTTTTCTTGGTAGTTTGGTATAGCCTTGATTATGCAGCTATCACACAGAGACAACACCTGAAACCCTTGGATAATCTGGAATTTGGATGATTAGGAAGCTAGAGAACCCTCTTTGAAGTCCATTTTTGTGTTAAACCTTCTGAGCAAAGGCTTTACAGCCTGCTGAATCGATTCCTGCCAATTTTAGAAACATGACTGCTCTCTTTCAATTCTGGTCTTCTCAGCTGGACTTTAGCAGCTCAAGAGGGAAAAGCCCAAGAAAGATATTAACAGAGAAGAGGGGAAAGCTGAAGACCAGATTACCGACAGTGACCTCCTATTTGCATGTCTTAGATACTGAAGTGCTGCTTAAATAGATCTGGGGAACAACCAACAGGTTGCAATTCAATAGTATTCACATATTCCTTTCTCACCTCTCTCCTTCCTTGAACTGATGAACCACAATTCAACTTCAAAAGCTTAGAAAATATTTGAAGAAGTGCTCAGTAGCTCCCTGACCCTAAAGCTTTTGTCCTGGAAGAGCTGTGGTTTCTGACTCAACAACATCCAGTAATGAAAGGTACCCTGTGTGCTCTGTGCTTCTGGTCACACATGCCAGGGGCAGCAGGCTGCCACACCAGCATGCTCCTTAAATCCTGTGATCCACAAGAAGTATTTGTATTAGTTTATAGGAACGTTTGGCTTAAATCCTGCTGCTGGAGGTTATGTAACAGACAAGCAGACTGTTCACCAATAAACCAGCAAAGTCTGCTTTTTAATGCAGACACAACTGCTAGTTTCTAGGCTTTTATCATCTTTAATTAATGGTAAATGAATATAAGTCTATAAAAAGAAATATGAACAAGATCAGCTTGCTTGACGTGATTTGATTTTTAAATATTCAAAGAAAGAGAAGTCAACTTCTTGTGATAAGTAGAAAACAGTACTACTGGATTAGTATGCTTTCAGAGTTTGAAGAGAACTACATTAACATAATCAGGATTTGGAAATAAACTCTGGAAATTGTTTTATCTTGGCAGTAATCAGGATGACTGGCTACCTTCTTTAGATGATCAACTCAAATAAATACAAAATCATATGGACACATAAGGAAGCCACAACACAGAGGCTCAGATGGAATGTTAGTATTTAACTCTGCTGATGCTCATACCTGGAGATGGTTATAGACAAAATTCAGTATGAAGGGGTTTTTTATATATGGTTTTGTTATTTTCTTGAACTATATATTATATAGAAACTCACTGCAATAATGATTCCTAATTTCTTAGGAATCATTGTAGGTTTATCTATTATGAGCTCTCTTCTTTGCATATAATAATAAGGAACATAATTCAGTAAATGTACCTACACATAAATAAAGTAAATATTTACTCATACATCTAGAATAAAGCTTTATAGAGAGCTCAGAGGAAATTCATTAGCTAGGTCATTACAAAATTACTTCATATTTTTCCTATTCATAACCTTTTCCAAGCACATGCACGTTATTTTGAACTTCACTTAATATTTCTGCACTGCACTTATAATGTAAAAACACAGCAGAAAGCCCCACCCTGAAGGATCATTAGAAAGAAGTGTATAGTATGGATTCACATTTTGATAATTTCTTGAATACTCACCTCTCATGACCTGCAAGGTCACAGAGCTGGCTTTCAGATCTCTAGAGTGAAGGGTCTGCTAAGATCTGAACAGCTTGGCTTCCCTGTTAATCAGGTTAGCAGGTTTTAGTTCTCCATTATTGGATCAGCCTTTGACCTTGTTGGACCACTGCTTACACATCCATAATTCAACAAATAGTCTTAACTGTGTGACTAGGGAGTAGATCAGAGCTTTCTACAAGATGTATTTCTATATGATCTGTTGATAAATCCAGGACATCACTGCAGTGATGTCTGTTGGCCAGTCATTTACAGCAAGCCCTTGAGATATTATATTCTTGCCCTCATTTCTCCTCAGAAAAATAAACTTTGAGTTCTTAAATGCAGGAAAACTCGAGAGGTTTTCTGAAATTAGATTTTAGTGCAAAATGTAATCATTCTAAATGTTGTTTTAAATCTTTAAATAGGAATAATTTCTTGGTTTTATAGTAGAAGAAATATATTTTCCCATAAAATTAAGTAATAATATTTTTTTCTGTTGAAATATTTATTTGGATGGATATTTTACATCATGTCTTGTTATTAATTAATTGATATTGCAACCTTTTTGAAATAATAAACATTTCTTTCTCTTTTCTAACACATTAAAACCTTATAAAAAGCATTAATGCACTGCCTTTTTGACTTCACAGCAACTTGCTGGTAGGTAGTCATATCCTGAGTAAAAACTTGAGACCTAATTTTTGTGGCTGTCCCATTCCTGGAAGTGTTTACAAGGGCAGGTTGGAGGAAGCTTTCAGCAACCTGCTAGTGAAAGGTGACCCTTCCCACAGAAGGGGCTTTGATCTTTAAGGTGATGATCTTTAAGAACCCTTCCAACCCTAATCAATTTATGATTCTGTAAAATTATTAGATTTCATTAAAAACCAAGAACTACAAGGGAAGGAGGAACATGGGACAGAAGTAAGTCTCAGCTGAAACTCTCTTTTGATAAGAACTTATTGATTCAGGAATCCAGGATGGCATAGGAGGTTGGAGAAGTTTAAGTAGGTCAGATACACCCTTATAAAATTATAGTCCAAAGTAAATGATGAGTTTCCTGACTCCCTCCACTGCTGATGAGACTCTTTCCTATGGGCACATCCTGAGAGCAGCTAATAGCCAGAAGGGTCCCACAGAAAAGCTGTTGGTGCCAAAACTGTTATAGGGACCTTTCCCGCTTTGTCCCCCATTGCCAGTACTTTTATTTCTGATGTCATGGTGGTGGGGGAATGGCAGCTGAAGCAAATGCAGTTACTTTTCCATCAGAAATACATGTAGGATTGCCATTAAAGTAGTACTGGTGGTGTTGTCACATTTTTTTCATACTACAGACTCCATGCAATTGAAAGCTTTAGGATTGAACCACAAAATGACAGGAAACCAGTGTTGTCAAACTGGAGGTTAGTTTGAACATTTGCAAAATGACTCTTTCAAAACTTAAGGGCTTGTGTCTGCTAGCTAGTGCTCCATATACACTCCTGCTTAATATTATATTCATGCTGCACATTTTTTCACCCTAGCTTGGGTTTTTGTTGCAATACACAGCTGGATACAAGAAGTTAGCATTCAGCCCAGCTGCAGAATGACACGTGAGAAATATTTTCCAACACATTGAGTAAATGATTGATACTGGCAGGTCTCCAAGACTCCATGCAGAAGTAGTATCAAATTAGAATCATGATTAGTATTCTGATTGAGATTTATTACCTTTATTCTACTTTATTAATTATTGTTTCTGAGTAATTTCCTTCAGGACATAATAATTAGCATATGTTCACAGAGGCACTTAAAAGTAACCAAAGGAAATAGTATAAAAATCAGTTGATGGCTCGGTTCATTTCAGAGGTACTTAATAATCCGTGAATAGTGTTGCAAAACATCTGGTGAAGATGCTATACAGCTCAATTGGCTCAGTATTAATTAGCACCATTAGAAGGGAGCTTTCTCACAGGTACCACTCACCTCTTCACAGTATTTCAGGTCAACCGATTTGCCATCACTGCGAACGCAATCGAGCATCCGCGTTTTGATACCACTGCCACAGACAGCCTTCTCGCTGAGCTGACACGTGCTCCAGTCTGCAAAGGAGGAATTCATTAGCATTGCAGACTTTCAGATAGAATTCATAATGATCCAGTTTCCCACCTAATTCTGATGGCCTAAAATAACCCTCACAAGCAACTTTTACACATGCAGAGGCTCACAGAGCCCAGCTGATACACATTTTTGGAAACTGTGACCTTTACTGCAAATAGTCAATATCATGGTACCTTCCAGAAAAGTGCATGTTTGGTTTTGTCTGTATGGATTTTTAGTAAATCAAAAAATTATATGAATAATACTTTTCCTGGAGTTACAGTGTGAACATTTCACATGCAAATTCTCAATATAATATTTTATCTGACTCAAACATCCTGAATCACCTCTCAGTACAAGTTTTGCAGCTGTGTCTGGGTAAGAAAAATCTATCCTGTAAGGTGAATGGCAATGAGCTGTAAGATGTGGTGCCAGGCTGTCACTAGAGCATAATAACACAAATACCTGTCACATTGTAGTCATAGTGGTAGCAGTTCTTGTTCAAAGTGCAGGCTTCTGCTTCGGTGGCAGCAGGACAAGGCTTTCCATCGTCTGGTTGTCTTAGGCATTCAGCTGATCTTTCACGGATATTACTTCCATTGCATGGCTTGAAAGTAAAATTGGAAACAGGTTAAATATTTTGGCACCCTGGTACCTCTTTATGCAGCAATACAACAACCTTTTAAATAATCCCTTCACAAAACACAAGTGTGAAATAACAGGTTCCTGCTAATGTATAAGAGAAATCCTTTCCTTTAACCTAAGCAGTGCATATTTCAGTATTAGTACTTTGGAACTATTTCACTCAAAACCAGAATATTGAGATGCTCACTTTCCACATATTATAATGTAATGCACCATAGCCTCTCAGAGGTCCTGAAACACTTTTAGTGCTTTTTTTGGGTTTTTTTGACATTTCTTTTTGAAACTCCTGTCAGGAAGGAAGGGGAGAGGAGACCCAAAATTACTTTTCTATACTCAGTCTTGATCTGCAGACTTCATCACTCGTACCAGGATAGTGACATTTTTAGTTCAGTGACTGTGCTGCTGTGCAGAGGCTCAGAGACAAACTCACAAGCCACTGCCAAAGCTATTCCACCACACAGAAGGCACCCCACACTGGGAAGAGAGACCACTGGGCACATTTTAGGTTTTGTTCTGCAAGTATTTAGTGTACTGGAAATTACTGTCACACTTCATTTGCAGCCAACACAAAACAACCCTAAAGATGACACTATGTATAGATATTTAAAGGTGTAATCAGTTCAGCATCTTTGCAAAACACATCATACATACACTTTTAAAGTATTCTCCCAAAACTATAAATGTGGCACTTCAGTATACTTCTTACCAAAGAACACTGAGACCATGACCCCCATTCAGACATAACACAGTCCTCAGGACATGGCAATGTGCATTTTCTAGCACCAAGTGGCATATCTTCAGGATCACACAGGTAGTCTTCTACTGTGTCAGAAGGACCATCCATAGTGTTTAGCATGCATCTGGAAAAAAGAACTAGACATAAACTTCATTTGCCATGGATTTCGTATGGTATGTGTTCTACAGTATTCTGAGGCATTTTAACATTTTGTCAGCACATAACTGAAATAAGTATTGATCTGTGAATACCCAAGAAAAGCTGAAGAGTCAAAAACAATCCTTGTTTTCACAGATGAGAGCAACATAAAAGCATGCACATAATTTAGGCAATCCATATCAGTGATTTCCTGGGAGCCCCTGGGCAGGTGATTTGCTTGACATTAGCTTACCTCTAAACCAGAATAATGCAAATCATCTATGTTTAGACATATTTTGTGCATACTTCAGCTGATAACTTTAAATCCAGAAATATTAAAAATTCAAAAAATTTATATTCTTAGTATTAATCCTTAATTTACACATATGCCTTTTAATTACCAATAGATTAAATTAGGAATCAAGGTTTATATCCATAACAAGTACACAGAGTGATATTGCACTCCCTGAATCTATTCTAATTTATATCAGCCAGGCTCCAGATCTGGACTCAACACTAAGCATTACATAGAATTACATCACATTAAATACAGCCAATACTGAAGGTGAAGGTTCTTTAAAGTGAAGGAGAAGCAATACTGTTTTACCTGACTTTCCTTGTTTGAACACCTTCTCCACAATTCTCTTTTAAGTCCACGTTGGTCACTTTGCAGACACTCCAGGGCTCAGTAACCCATATGTACTGGCTGCAGTCACTGTGGCAGGGGACTACCTCATACACCTGGAATCCACATTCAGTGTCAGTTTTGGTGTACACAAGTAAGATAAACATGCACGTGATCATACAGAAAAAAGCATTAATGCTCTCGGGAAGAATAAAAAATATGAACTTGATTTAGAAACCATAGTAATATTACAGATTTAATACTTGCTAGAAAACTACAGAAACTATTGAATGCTGGATTCTCTGGTTTTCTCTGCCACTAAGCCCATGCTGTGCTATTTCCACCAAAAATATCAACAGAACTAACATAAAGTCTGTAACTAGGCTAACTCATGAGTACAGCTTTTTAAAAAATGCTGTTAAAGCTCTGCTAGTGCTTTAGCTCTGTCTACTCTTCCCTACAATTCCATCCCACTATTATATTATTATCCCAGTTATTCATTGTGTGGGTTTGGTATTGTTAAGGAGAGGTGACCTCAAGAGAAATTATACCAAAATATATTGATTCACTTTATTTATTCATTGTGTATGCTTACAATTACTCTAATGTATTTGTGTACCAGAATTAGTATTATGTTTAGATTTGAATACAAATTTTTAAGTGGTGTCTCATATAGGAATTTCTACAGTGTTCCATGTACTGACTCAAACATACATTACAAAAAATGGGACAGACAGCACATGTTGAGCAAAAACAATATGTTGAGCTTAAATCTCTATTTCATAAACACTTACCTGTGCCTGAAGAAAGTATTTTCATGAACCCAAAAGAAAGAAAAAAAAAATAGAAAAACTTAGAATTGTTAAAGTGAAGCATAGGTATTTTAATTGAATCAATTTAGACACAATTATATTATGGACAATGTACAATTTTATTTTAGACAATATTCTGTAACTTAGACAATATTCTTTAGACAATATTCTGTATCTTAATTATGCATAAATTACTTAAAGCCCATTGTCTTGAAATTATACCAGCTAATTTGATATATTATTCTAGGCATAAAGTCAGCACAACTAAAACTGCTGAACAATCTAAGGCTTATCTTAAACAAGTTATTGATTTCCTTTCAGCAACCATTCTTGTGTAGAAAAAGAATCTGACCCTGGTTATCATAAGAAGAAATACATAAGCCCACACACTCAACAGCTTTTGCAGTAACATAAAATTTGGTTATCTTGACAGAAAGCCAGAGGAGGAGTTTATATTGCATGGAACATGTGAGTAGTGCTCTCCTGACCTCACTGGCATTTTTGTAGCTATGACTGTAGGCCATAGCAGTTGGGTGGTATAAGAATAGCATACACATTCTGCTCCTGATAAAGGAGAAAATAATGCTTGTAATCAATGAAAAGACTGATGTCCTTAATTTCTCTAACAGTCTCAGATTAGTCCCTTAATTTGAAACCATCTTATGGCCATTGACATGATTTTATATCAAACCTGACTCTATTATTACTGTAATTATGATGTCTTTTAGCCTATTGAAGTGAGTACCGAGCAAGCTTTATTCAGCTGGAGTGTGGTTTGGGAGCCACCCTGGCATGCACAGCCCAGGAGGAAAGACACTGAGTGACACATCCAGCTTTCACTGTGCTCAGTCCTTCCTCAAATCACAGGCACACATGTCAGTCCTGAGACACTGAACGACTTTTTAACAAGGTCTTAAGCATTTTATTTCAGTGTTTCCCTAGCCTTACTGAAAGTTTTCCCAAGGCTTAACCCAAATCTGCTTGCAGCAGTGTAAGCCCACTGCTTTTTATCCTATCCATGATGGCCATGGAAAATGGATTATTTCCTCCTTCTTTGCAACAGCCCTTTAAGTATGTTCTACAGACTGCCAGCATTCTCCCTCCCATCTCCTGTTCCCCAGGCTAGACAACATGTTGTAGCCTTTCCCCAGGTTCATAATTCCTAGATGGCATCTTACAGCATAGTTCTTCTGTAAATCAGAGTGCACACACTGTGGGCACCAAAGATCCAATCTTACCACTATGGGTCATATGTATGCAAATAAGAATGTTACAAAATTAAGTAATAAATATGTAACTTAAACATATTATATTGAATGGTTATTGAATTATGACTCTGAAAAGTAATTTCTTTTCCAGCTGAATGGTGGATAATATTTAGTTTAAATAACTAATTCAAAATTGAAATATCTCTGTATTTCTCTGTATCTTTCTGAATTGAAAGGGAATGTATTCAAATATGAAAAATACAGGCTCTATATTTCTTCAACATCCTTGTATTATCTGTGGAACGTCCTTCTCATGAAAGCACTATATTTCAATTATATTTTTATAATAATTATACTTTGAATCAACCATTATTTGGCAAAGACCATGTAACCACAAATCAAATGAGTGAAAGTACCGGCAGAGGGCAATAGTGTTGCACAGAAGTGGTGAACAGACCTCCAGCAAAATCACCTTTGATGCAGAAAAATACAAGCCTATTATGTACTACATGAATATTAAAGGAGGAAAAAGACTTTTGTATAGACTATAATTTGCTCCTATTGGAATATGTTCCTCCTAATTTAAAGCATATTTACATGCTGACCCAAATCCAGCAACCCTCATTCTAGTTCATATTTTGTTAATGTAGATCACAAACTTGGTTTATTAGCTGCGGTTAAACACTTATGATTTTCTAAATTAAAACTAATTACATCCCTTAAAGTAGAAAATTAGATCAACAAGCCATTTCATTTTGTTCTATCAAAATGTCAATAGGATAATATTAAGTACATGCATTTTTATTCAAATGTAAATTGAGAGCACATTTTTAAAAAATCTTTGAATATTTACAGAAAAGATCATTTGGTTGTTTAATATGTCTCTGCAGACTAAATTAAATTCAACAGTAATATGAATATAAATCAACTTTGAAGAGCGTAAGTTAATTGACAAGGAATGTTTTTCCTTTCAAAAACTCTCCAAGGAAAGAAACTTCAGGGTTTAACTTGGGCCAGTGCTAAACTTGGTCCCAAAGACTAAATGCTTATTAGCAGTCCAAGCATTCCAGCACTCCAGGGTGCTCTTGGATCACAATTTATGGTTTAGTTTCAATTCAAGAGGATCCAGACTGTATGGTCATACTGCTCCATACTGCAGTATCAAGCTTGTGGGAAAACTGAGACTTCAGAATTGTATTTGTGACTGGAACTGCACTGCCAGGGAAAGCGTACCCAAGAAGGTCAAGCTCCAACTTGAGGAGAACCCACTAAGGGACACTGGGATTACTGTTTGAGAGTTTTGTTTTCTGATCTAAGACGGTCATAGAGTGACACTAAACATCTTGCCAGTTTATGCAACTGTAATGAGACATTTCACCCCTGTCATATATTAGAAGATTAGAAGGGACATTGAAGATCATCTAGTTCCAAGCCCCCTGCCATGAGCAGGGACCTTCCACTGGACCAGCTTGCTTAGAGCTCCATCCAACCAGGCCTGGAACATTTCCAGGGATGAGGCATTCACAACTTCTCTGCATAACCCATTCCAGTGCCTCACCATCCTCTGAGTGAAGGATTTCTTCCTAATATATATATACATCTACTCTCAGTTTGAAGTCATTCCCACTTTTCCTGTCACTACATGGCTCTGTAAAAAGTTTCTCTCCATCTTTCTTGGAGAATCCCTTCAGGTAAGAGATCTTTGGAAACACAGTCTTCAAAATCTGCATGTAAGAGTGTTTTATTGTCTGCAATCTGCAGTTCACAAAATATGCAAAATTCTTGCAGATGAGGAAGTAACTGTTAACACAGATCATTTACTGCCTGAGGAATTCTAAACCAACACATATTCCTTCTACCTCTATCTGCTCCTTATATTTTACAATTTTTCTACAGCAAAAAATACAGATAAAAGAGTTATTTGAAGTTTAGAAAAAGCTATATCAATAATGTAAAAATAAATCAAATTACCTGATTGACGTGATCTAGCTTTGGACAGGGCCTTCCACCATTGTAGGGTTTTTCACGAAGCCATTTAGACCGAACTTTTACCCCACTCCCACAGGATTTACTACAACGAGACCAGTTGGACCACTCACTGAGCTTGCAGTCTGAGGGACATGGAATAATACAGGCTTCCTCAATATACCCTGTATGAATGGAAAAGAAAGTGAAATCTCTTCAGCATGTCAGTTTGTGACTTCTCCCTGAAGCCCTCGTCTGCTTCATTTAGATTCTCCAAAGTTTGACTTGACAGGACTGTGTGAATAAAGACATTTCTTCATCATTAGGGATAAATTAAATTCTGCAGAAAATTGACACATATAGCTGGAGACTGTTAGAGTAGCAGCTGAGCATCCTCACTGCTCATCATCCCCTCTGATTAGGATTCACACTCTCCAGATTTCAGCATTCAAACTTTCTGACAGCTACAGTGTAATTGACACTAACCATCTCTTGGCAGCATCATTCTTACTCTGCAAAATTATATGTGTAATTTTTTAAAGGAAAAATGGTTTAATTAAAGGATACTCTGCAACTGTATCAAGTAATTCAATTGCAGTTATACATCAAAAATCCAACTGAGAAGAAATGCATCTTGCCAGCCTGGAGCAAGGGAACTTAACACCTTGTGACCTTTCTCGGGCTAGAAAGAGAGAGTAGCCTGCCACATTAATGATCTGTCGATTAACAACCATCTGCCCCCAGTAGCACACTGAATAATTGCACTGAATGGAAAAGCAGATGTTTGTTTTGGTTAAGTCATTGGTCCAGAGAGGTTGGAAGGGGGTATGACATGGTCTGCAGGGAGTAACATGAGGCCTCAATTCACTGCATATGTGAAAATGGCTTTCTTTCAAAAGCAACATATGCCATAGCTCTACAATATGTGCAATTTATTCCAATATTTAAGGGAGAAGCTATAATACATAAAATAAAAAGCTGGCCTTAACTGCATGTTTACTAAAACTATATCCTGAACTCTCTTCTTCCTTTTCCTGTGTCAGATCTGCAAAGTATTGACCATTAGCAAATGGTCAATACACTTTACAGATTAAAAACCTTAGTGAATTTAAACTTGTATTAAAATATTTCATTAAAATATTTAATGAAAACTGTTGCAAAAGTTTTCTTTTCCTTAGCCAATACTTGGCTAAGATAATTCTTAAAAGGTTGTCATGGTTTGCTAGATTTCAAATATTTCAATTGTTTGTCAGATATATAGAATTTTTTAAATTCAAAAGGGATCAGTCTTTTCATCAGAGCTGAATTGTTTTTAACCTATGCTTCTAAATAAAGTTGTTCTGTCTCTTTTAAAAGCAGCCAATAACAACAAATCTTAAGGTTTGTAAGGAATCAAAACTCTTAGATTTCAATTCTGTATATCTATTTCTAGTCAATTTGTTGTTTAGATATAGTTATTTTGTTTTAGATATAAAGAAAATAATATATAGCATTTATAATAATAAATATAAAATAATAATAAATATAAATATAATAATAAATATAATAATAAATATAAAATAATAATAGCATTTATAATATTTTATGGTTAAATTCAGGTGGTGGTTTTATTTGGTATGGTTTTACTTTATTTAGAAGTGTTAAATATTTAAATAAGTATACAGAGCACATCCTGGACTTGAGCACTGTGAAACTACCGCTCACCAAATGTATCATCCTTAAAATGATTAGAATATTATTACTTTGAATATCAAGCATATTTATTAAATCTGCTGCTATTTGAGCAACCAGCTCAGTGAAAGTATATGAAGAGGACACTGTGTTAGACAAAATAAATTTTTGAGGATCACATCCCTGCATATCAGAGGTGCTGACATAGATTGCCCTGCAGTAGTAGATGCAAAATTGATTACACTTTACCTTACCTGACATCTCTGAGTCCTAGAAATCTGATGCACCCTATCTCAGAGTTCCAGCCTGCACTGAAGTTTGATTGCATAAATACCAAAGTCTGTACCTGCACCAGAAATGAGCTTTCAACAAGTCCCATACAAAATCATGTACTCACACAATCAGGAAGCTACCGAATGGAAATGGAAAAAACCCAAAGCAAGTTAAACTAAACAATTCCCTCCAAACAATAAATGTTTAATGATACTTACTGTCTGATAGAACTATGTGAAGATTCCATTGCTCTATGAAATTTCTGGTGATTCTGAAATACTGCTTTTACTTTCAACATAACTTCTAAATAGTGTTTTTTTCTGGAGAAACCTTTCTACTATAACAGTTATGCCATTTACCATTTGTTAGAGTTTCTATCTCTGGTAATTAAATCTGAAAAACCCAAATTCAAGTTGTTTTAAATATATTGTAGGTCCTTAAGCAGGTAGCCTGAATTAGTACAGACTTCTTCAGGAAGACTTTATTTTAAGGTCCATAGACCTCTGAGATTGTCTTAGTAACTCTCAAAGAGATCTTCCCAGTCTTTGCCAAGATCTTCTCTGTTATCAAAATCCCAAAATACCATGGTATATTGGGATTTTGATAACACTTCATAGCCTACAAAAACAGAACAAAATGCTCTCAAGAGCTTACAGTGGCATTTTCTGGCCAGAGAGTGAAATGTAACAAAGAATGTTCTCACAAATCAAAATAGAGGATAAAGGGAAGAAATACAAACACTGTGCTCCCTGATTTGCATTCCATATGTAATTAGTATGCAGAACGAAAATGACCTTATTATATCTGACATCAAAAAGTTTTTGGTATATTCATCCCTTGGCATATATTTCCTCTCAGGGGCCTCAGTATTTTGCTCAACAGACTATTTAACATTTAACTATTCTACTGGCCTCTGTTAGAACTGAGGAAGAAGCCCATTCAGATTGCTTACGTATAGCACTTTAGTCAGGAAAGAAGAGTGAATTAAAAAAAATAACTTGCTTGCTGAAAATTACTTGTTCCACTCCACTTACTACCTATCAAATAGTACTTTTCAGGAAAAGATTCTCTGGACTTGTCATCACCTCAGATGCCTTTCTTTGTGTATGAAGTCAGCATATCTTTTAGGATGATTAAGGATGATCTCCATAAGTTCATAGCAATCCTCCCTCAAATTCAAGAAAGCAGATGTTCAAGAACTTTGAAAAATTTACACTTGGTTGTTGTTGTTGCTGTTTTTGTTAAATTTCAGATGGTTTTACTTGTAAACTGTTCATGCTGCAAAAAATTTTGCAAGTGCGAAGACAGAATGTTGTTATATAGAAAAATATTGAAATTCAAAAACCAGAAATACTACATGCAAATAAGACTGGTGATGCAGATAGATAGTTTGTGATATGAAAAGAATGTGAAGGAGCCATTTTTAAACTTTCAGTGTCATTTTCAGTTTGATGAAATCACCATTGAAAAGGTGCTGCTGGTGTTAGACCAACCTTGTGTATGTGTTAGTATAGAATCTTATTACAGAAATAAGCCTCTAGTGTGTGGGTAAGCATCTCTATGGTGGAATGTCACCCAATTATATCACACAGTCTGGTTGATTAATATAATTGCACCAAAAGTCATACCAGAACTTTGAGGTTCAAAGAACAAGCAAGAAATTACGAAGGTAAAATACAATAGATACACAGAAGAAAAGAATGAGAGCAGTGAAATGTCTATGAAGAAGAACTGAGAAACTGAAGGAGGGACAGTGAAATAGAAACCCAACACTTTAAGGACTGAAGATATGCTCTCCGGACATCAGCAGTTCACTTTTTGCCTGCTGTTTCTCATCCTGACTGAAGTGGTTCAAAGTTGTGCATGGCCCTGCATGGTCCAGAGCGGTGTTGGAAACAGCTGGAAAGGGTTGCCTGTATCTCAGAACCTGTGTCTGTTCCCAGGGCAGTAGTTTCTCAATTATTTCAGCTCCTGTAAGGCTGTAAAATGGTCAGTTGTCTGTTATGAGTGAGAACATGGCTATTCTGTCATTAAAGATTACTGAACCACAATTTAACAAATGGCTTTGAAACACTAGGAGTATGAACTGAACTCATTAGTGAAAGGGAAACGTTTACTGTCCCATTGCTAATTGGCTATAAAATCTGGACTCCTAGAGCAAAATAATTAACAGATGTGATGGATAATTTATAAGGGAGGACCTTAATGGACTTCACGCTTTCTCTAATGACAAAGCAGGATAAGTAGGTGGACTTTTCCCCACAAACTGCATGTTCAATGTGTAGGAACAGACTGACTACTCTTGTTGAAGGGTGCAAATATAAACATCTCACAAAATGTTTACATGAATTCTTTTGTCCCTAGGACTGACAGAATTATACTCCTACTTGCATGACTAAATGTCATACTACGTTTAAAAAAAAAAAAAACCTGCAATGTCAAAATGATTTATGTTGTTCTAATTTTTTTTTCCCCAGGAAATACAAAGTTCATGGATCTCATCTTCCAGGACAAAGAAATATGCAATTATTTTCATTTCATTTTTATCAGAAGACATGTGTTTCTAGAGACTATTCATATTTATGTTGATCCACGGAAAGATAGATTGAACACCAACACCTTTTTTTTTTTTTTTTTTTCAGGATTACCCTTCAAAGGCTGAAAATCTGAGAGCAATTGTTCATGCTTAACTATCTCCTGCATCAGTAATTCTTCCTCTGGTGAACTACCTACAGCTCTTTGGAGTAATGGATGACTGCTTTAAGACTGATGTCCTGTTAACAAGGCAGATATGGAGGCACCAGAATTCTGAAGCCTAAGGTAGGACTTCTGGTGCAAGGCAATAGGCAACATATTGCAAGAGCACATGACATAAATATATATCAATTTTTAAAAATATGAGAAAATATATAGAATATGAAACAGTAAAGTCTTTTAATAATAATTTGAGAACCTAGGCTTACTACCACACTAGATTAGAATTTCCTAGGGGAAATATATTTACTTTTGAATAAACATTAAACAGAAAGTCTCAATTAAATTTTAACACTTTTTCTTTCTGTATAAATTTGCATTGCTACAGTTAGACCATTGAGAGTGAAAAAAACACATCTAAAAATTCTAATACAAGTGGATAAAGCAAGCTGTGGCAAGCATCTTGGACTATATAGACTCTGTTATACCATTCAAGATTTTATTTTATTGCACATATAAGCAATTAAATACAAAATTCCTCCATTCACATTGATACTCCTAGCAGCTGTTGCAAAAGTATTCACTGATATGCAGATATTCCTCTCTAATCCTCCACATAAGCCTTGTAGCCACAGAGGGCTTTGTAGAGTCAGCACAAATCAATGCATCTCATTTAATTAATGCTGAAGGGGGAAATAATCTCACACTAATAAGGCAGCAGACAAACTATCCTGACTGCTTGACTGTGCCTAAGGTCTTAACAGTAAACGGACATGAATTAAGAAGAGTAATACGACCTATATAAAAATGCTGCATCTGTCTGCAATGCCACTCTGCCTTCAGTAGGCACACACAAACACAAGCAGCACTCGGCATATGTGGGTCATGATTCATAATTTATACATGGTGGAGAAGAACTAATAGCTTAGTTCATAAGCATGACAGTAGTTTGCTTTTGATTTTTTGTCATGAAAATTCCAAGGTACAATTTAAAGGAACAATGAAGAGAATCTCTCACAATTTTTTCACAAATACATGGAAACAGATTGTTGGCAGACACATGTCATTATCCACAGAGCTCCAGTGCACTACTCATGGCAGGGATAAAGCTATAAAAAAACCACTGTGGCTTTTCTAATGGAGAAAAAAACCCTCTCACACTTGGCTAACAAAATAAGTTTTTACATTTCTCCAATAAAATTATATATGTAGCAATGAAAAGCAAGAAGCAAAGAAAGGCCAATTTATGTGTCTTCCATTAAGGGAAACAGATAAAGAGCAGCTCAGTTTCCCCTTTTAGCTAATGTTCCCACACCTGATGACACCTGGAAGCTCATAGCTCTTGCTCACACTGTAGAGAACTGGAATGGATGAAAAATACCAGAGGCAGAATATTTCAAATAGCTGCTGAATAGTGTAAACTTTCTTACTAATAAATTTAACTTAAATGAGAAACAAAGTATTTTGAAAAGGAAAGTCAAAATGTTTGGCACATATAACACAGATAAAAAAGAAAGTAAGGAATAAACAAACCTCATTCTCTCTCTGCAGCTGAAACTTAGGCCTACTTTCAACTGTTGGAGATTTTTGTAAGCACCTGTTAAGTTATAGAAACCTAATGACTCTCTGCAGAAGGACTTCTACCCTCTTCTTCCCACAGCTCTAACCTAGCAGTACCAATAGAGTTATTTAACTATATTTTGCCTTTCCTTTTCTTTTACAGTCACTCCTGTCTTCTTGAGAAACTAGTTTGCACTTGGGACTTTATAACTGCACCCAAATTTCAAAAATTATCACAGGAATCCTCAGATAGGTATACTAATTTAGGGTGGTCCTTGTGTCACCTCTGTCCTTTAGGTCCTTGGTGTCTGTGAAGCAGTCTGTTAGTTAACTCTTCTTAAATGTTTTGAACATGAGATTTGCCAGGCAGGAAAGAGAGCCCTGAAGTATTTATTCTTCTGGTTCTGTTTTCCTTTTCTTTTCTGAATAAATCAACTGAATTGTGATGATAAGCAAGCAACATTTTGCAAAACAAGCAGCTTATGAATTTTTTGGCACAGCAGAGCAGGTCTGTCTTCTCATTCTTCCGCTCAAAACAACATGGCTTCCAACACTGACCTGTTCGTGGCTTTGTAAATTTACATGGTAATCTTTAAATAAAACTTTTGAAAGTCTCACAATTTGCGTTTCTTGTGTCATTTGAATATATCACAAAAATATCTCATGATGTATTACTAACATCAGTGTGGGTGCAGTTTTTCTCTCTTGTCAGATCTAGAGGTTGTTGTCACAGCTGAAGAAGTTCAATTATCTCCATTTCCCATTTCAGGATTTCACAGTGAGAGAAGACAACAAAAGCTCAAGTTGGATACCAGACAGGAAATATCTTCCCTTAAATATTAGTCTTATTTTCCCTCTTAGTACAAGATAATTTGCCAAATCATATCCTACAAAAACTGCAATTAAATAATATATTACTTGGAAAAGAAATAAGAGCCACAGGAACTAAAACAGGTAACATAGAAGAAAAACCTGATGACACTTTAGATCAGTTAAAAAATTAGAGAAAAAAATCCAGTGAAAAATCAGTAATAAATTTAGTGAAAAATCATTGCTGTAGGGAAGTAAGCACCTCTGTTAAAATTTACAAAAATAACCCAAGCAGGCTTGAATTATGTGTCCTGTCAAGTTCTGCTTAAAAGGCCAAATATGGATTGATGGGAAGCTACAAGGCAATTTTATTTTCTAGCAGGTGGGGTATTGTTGTGATACTACAGAAGTCCCTTGTTGATTTGGCATTATATAGCTTTTATGTTTGTTCTTGAAGAAAAGAAAACAAACAGAAAACCACAAACAACAACAATAAAAAACCAGCCATAAAACAAAACAAAACAATACAAAGCAAAGGGCACACTGAAACCTATAAAAGATGCCAAACTGAAGAACTGTCATACAAGGGCATGAGAATAAGAAAAGCATTGTAAATAAATACTGGGAAAATATAAAATAAGATTTAACTGGCAAAGCAGTAGTTTGTACACGTTGAGAAAAATAAAAGAAGCCATCAGAATGTAATCCATGAATACAAAGTAGTTGTTCAGAAAAGGCAGTAAACATATACCAAAATGAGATTGAAAAAGCTATATAATTTGCTCTAGCTCCCTTGTATTTGCAAAAGTATGCTAAACCTGGAAAAATGCTGAAGGCAGACAATAAATTAGGTGAGGTTTATGTAAGCCTATATTATGTGTATGTACAATACCTGTCAATAACAGAGGATCTACTGGAAAGGAAACCATAAATTTAATGATGTATTCATTAGCATTAGTTTAAACCTTTATCATCAAAATCATGTTAGATACTTCATTCCCTGTATACATGAAATTCCAGTCAAACAATTTTGGGAAAGTAGAAGAAAAACAGGATTAGTTCAATATGAATTCCAAGCTTCATCTGCTCACACAGTACACCATGGACCAAGTTAATGTGTACTCTCCCTCTCAGATGGAACTGATGAGAAAACACAGACAGGAAGGGTGTGAGGTGGGGGGTGGTGTAGTGGAATATCAAGGAAGCAGACATCTCAGCGAGCTGATCTAGAAAGAAAGAATTTAAAAGAAAACAACACCTAAAAACAAAGGGTTCAGGCTTCCCAACCTACAATAAATACAGTAATGACAAGAGAACACTTCATTTTACAAAGTTAAAAGAGACTTCAAGTCTCCCATGACAAAAAAAGAACTTGAGAAAGAAAGAGCACAACAAAGCTATATTATGTTTCTGGAACGATGCCTGTGAGTGGTAATAGCATGTAAACAATAGCCCTGGCTGCATCAGGAATAACAGCAACACATTGTTAGCTTTTCCACTGGATTATTATTCATTGTGGTCACTGTGAATGTAGGCCACATTCACTGATAAAATCTATTGGATCAGAAATTACTACCATGAAGAGAGAGTTATGTCAGGGTAAACAATGATGGTTTAGAATATACATTTTAAATACTTTTTTATTCCTCTTCTATTTCTTTGATTCTTGTAATGGAATTGCACCTCAAAATGCACTGCCAGGGCTTGAAAGCAGCTACATCCATACTTGTTCTACACAAAAAGTTGTTCCTAGAAGCAGCATGTTACTTACCACATACAACACCAACAACATGCTCTTGGACAAATATTTCTTTCCTTTTTTTTTT